CCTCTTAGGACTAAGTAACACTAGTTTTTTGTACAACTGGTAATATTGTTGCAAGAACAATTATCAGGGGTACAAATAATCCTAGGGTTTTGCAAGTTTTCCTTTTCATTTCCACCATGCTTTGGAGCGTACTATGATATTATAGGTGTAAAAGCAGTATTTTGAGAAAAGAGGATATAATCACTACAAATAGTAACAGCTCTACCCTTTGCAAGAATAAAATTTAATCCAAGGATTAGATTTATTTCAGGAAGCTCATTAAGAGGTGATACCCARCATATGTCTAAAGGATATGCATCAGACCAATCTTGACAATTTGTTTGAAATTGGATTTGAAGATTTTTAAAATAATGATTGGTTGAGTGTATTGTTTCTGAAAACGTCAGAGACTTCAAAGGCTTTTGTGCTTCCACAAGTTTATCAAGTAAAGTTGGAGGAAGAATTGAAGAATCTAAAGTTGTTTGAGTTGCTCCTGTATCAATAAAAGCAGGGAGTTGAAACTTCATACCTCTAATATTCAAAAGGACTAAAACATAAATATTCTTCAGAACTTTCTTGTTACAGATTATGGGTATAATAGGATTTATAGCCATACAAGAAGTAGAAGTCGAACCACCTTTATCATTTATAATGATTCCTTTATTTTTTGGAGGTTTCCAAGAAAATTCAGGAAAGGCTTTATCATAGTCTTGATGTGATAACTGTTGAAAATGTATTTCTAGATTTTCAAAACGGTTTTCAAGAGTATGAATCCGATCATCCAGAATTGTAATTCTGTCTGTTTTTTGTGGTTGAACCACTGGTGTTTGTATTTTATGTTTATAAACAGATGATAAGCMTAAATAACAAACTTCTATTCTGCAAAGATCACAACGTGAGCGCTTCTCAAGAGAAGGATACCAAAGGCAATTATAACACTTAGTGTTTGTATTACCTGTATTGTATGTCCATGCATGAATACAGTCCATTATTTCAACATTAACAAAGTTAAGATTTTCAAACATTTCAACATCATTTTCAAAAGAATTATGGTAACCATATTTCTGTTGTAAATCAGTTTGAGATGGTGAAAGTTGTTCTATGAAAGAATAATCACTTTGTTGTTTGAGATGGTGAAAGTTGTTCTATGAAAGAATAATCACTTTGTTGTTGAACATCTTGCATATCTTCTATACTAACAATAGAATATATATCAGAGTTAGTTGAAACATCAGAAGTAATATCAACTAAGTCTTCATTGGTGCAATTGATAAGATCTACTCTTTGATTAAAAAGTGTTCTTTTGCCAAGGCATTTACTAGATAAATAGCCTTCTTTTCTACARGCATAACAAGTAAACTTGTTATAATTCTTGCTCTCTTTGTATTTCCTCACATGTTTTTCCTTATTGAGTGTAGGCTTTCTAGCACTAGACTTTCTAAG